GTCATTCCTCCTGCCATCTCCCACCCGAACCCAGAGCAGGAGTGCACCCCCAGCTTCTTCCAGCCAAGTGCTGGGGGTCTCTGCTTCTCTGAGCTACCTTTAATTTGGATAGACCCCCAAGAAAAATCTGGGATGGTGTGGAAGGAGACCAGTCCAAACACCAAGCCATGCTGATAATGTTGCCTCGTAAGGAGACAATGACTGCCCTTCCCACCCAGAGACCACAGGGCCAGAGGCACAGATAAACCGAGTGACTTTACTGAATTTATCTATTCTAGGAGTCTTTTGGTGGAATCTGTATTGTTTTCTATATGTAAGATCATATCATCAGAAAAGGGGTAGTTTGACCTCCTCTTTTCCTATTTGGATGCCATTTATTTCTTTCTCTTGCCTGATTGCTCTGGCTAGGACTTCAGTACTGTGTTGATTGAAGTGGTTACAGTGGACATCCTCGTCTTACTCCAATTCTTAGGCAGAATGCTTTCAACTTTTCTTCATTCGTTATGATGTTGGCTGTGAGTTTGTCATATATAGCTATTAATATTTTGAGGTAACTTCCTTGCATGTCTGGTATGTTGAGGGTTTTTATCGTAAAGGATGCTGGATTTTATTGAATGCCTTTTCTGCATCTGTTGAGATGACATGGTTTTTGATTTTAATTTTGTTTATATGATAAATCACACTTATTGATTTGTGTATGTTGAATCATCCAAGCATTCCTGGAATCAAACCCACTAGATCATGGTGAATTATTTTTTTGATGTGCTGTCGGATTGGGTTTGCTGGTATTTTGTTGAGCATTTTTGCATTTATGTTAATGGAGAGAGATTGTTCTGTAGGTTTTTTTTTTTGTTGCTGTGTCATTGCCTGACTTTGAGTAATAAAAGTATAAGAGTGATAGTAGTTTCATAGAATTAGTTAGAAAGGATTTCCTCCTTCTCCATGTTATGGAACAGTTTCAGTAGATATGTGCCAGTTCTTTGTAGATCTAGTAGAATTTGGCTGTGAATCTATCTCGTTTGCAGCTTCTTTCTGTTGGGAGATTTTTTATTACTATTTCAATCTTGCTACTCATTACTTGTCTGTTTTGGATTTCTGTTTCTTACTGATTCAAACTTGGGAGGTTGTGTGTTTCTAAAATTTTGTCTATTTCCTCTGGGTTTGCTAGGTTGTGTGCTTCTAGTTTTTCATAGTAGTTATGGATGATATTTTGTATTTCTTTGGTATCAGTTGTGTCTTTTTTCATTTCTGATTGAGTTTATTTGAATCCTTTCTCTTTTCTTTCTATTTAACCTAGCTAGTGGTCTGTCAATTTTGTTTATCTTTTCAGAGAAGTAATTTTTTGTTTCATTGATAATTTGTATCTTTTTTTTTTTTGTTTGTTTCCATTTTATTTGCTTCTGCTGGCTTTGGGTTTGGTTAATTTATCTTTTTCTAGTCTCTTGAGGTTTGTCATTTAGATATTAATTTGTGATCTTTCTGTGTTTTTGATGTAGGCATTTAAGGCTATGAACTTTCCTCTTAGCAGTGCTTTTGCTGTTATCACAGAGATTTTGGTAAATTGTGTCATCTTTGTTCCACTTGAAAAATTTTTTTATTTTTATCTTGATTTTGTCAAGATGAAGGATAGTTCAGCAAGTTGTTTAATTTCCATGTATTTTTGTGGTTTTGAGAGTTCCTCTTGGAGTGGATTTCTAGTTTTATTTCACAGGGGTGTGAGAAGATACATGGTATGATTTTGATTTTTCTGAATTTGCTGCGACTAGTTTTATGGCCTAACATACGATCTGTTTTGGAAAATTTCCCATGTGCTGATGAGAAGAATCTATATTCTGCAAATTTTGAGTTGAATGTTCTGTGAATATCTGTTAGGTCCATTTGTTCTAGAGTTCTGTCAATAGAGTGAACTTTCTAGCTATTGTGATGTTGCTGTTTATTTCTTGAGCTCTATTAAAATTTGTTTTATTTGTCTGGGAACTGCTGTGTTAGGTGCAAATATATTTACATTTTATCTTGTTGAATTTGTCCCTTTATCATTGTATAATGACCATGTTTGTCTTTTTTTTTTTTTTTTTACCATTGTTGACTTAAAGTATGTTTTTTTCTGATATGAAAATAGCAACTCCTGCTCACTTTTTGCCTTTATTTGTGTGGAATATTTTTTCCACCCCTTTATCTTGAGTCTGTGAGAATCTTTGTGAGTTAATTGGGTTTCTTGGAGACAGCATATATTTCGGTTGTGTTTTTTTAATCTATTCAGACAATCTGTGTCGTTTAAGTCAGACATTTCCTTTCAATGGTAGTACTGTTATGTAAGATCCTGCTCTGTTTATCACGTAGATTGTTTCCAGGTTTCTCCCTTGTGTTACTGTTTTGTAAGAACTGTGAGTTTTAACAATCAGGTGTTTTTACACTGATTGGTATGAATTGTTCTTTTCCATGTACAGAGCACTTTTAAGCATTTCTTATAGGGCAGGTCTAGTGGTGGCAAATTCTCTTTGTGTTTGCTTGTCTGGGAAAGACTGTATTTCACCTTCATTTATGAAACTTAGTTTTGCAGGATACAGAATTCTTGCTTGGAGGTTATTCTGTTCAGGAGACCAAAAATGGCCCCCTCTCTGACTTGTTAGGTTTCTGCTGAGAAGTCTGCTGTTAGTTTGATGGGTTTTCTTTTGTAAGTTACTTGGTGCTTTCATCTTGCAGCTTGTAGGATTTTCTCCTTTGATTTTGTCCAGATTGATGACTATATGCCTTGGTAATAGTCCTGTTTGCCTCAAATCTTCTAGGTGTTGAATGACCTTGTGTCTGGATGTCTAAATCTTTAATGATATCAGGGATGTTTTCCTCAATTACTCCCTCAAATACATTTTCCATGCTTTTTACATTTTCTTTTCCCTCAAGGATAGCTATGATTCTTATATTCATTTCCTTTTCGAAGTTCCACAGTTCTTGGAGAGATTGTTCCAGTTTTCTTTATTCTTTGTTCTACATTTTTGACTGAATGGGTTATTTCAAAAGCCTTGTTGTCAAGCTCTGAAATTATTTCTTCTGCTTGGTCTAGTCTGTTAAACTTTCTACTGCATTTTGAAATTTCCTAAATGACTCTTTCATTTATATCAAAATATAACAAGTTTTGTTTTATTTTTTCTTATCTATCTCTTAAGTGAATTTTTTATTTGTGTCTGAATTATTTTTTGGTTTCTTTGTGTTGGTTTTCAACTTCCTCCTCAATTCCACTGATCTTACTTGCCATCCGTATTCTAAACTTGATATCCAGCATTTCAACAATTTCTTTTTGGTTGGAGTCCATTGCTGGAGAACTGTTGTGATCCTTTGGGAGTGTGTAAACAGCTTGTGTTTTCATATTGCCAAAGTTCTTACGCTGGTTCCCTCTCATCTTAGCTCAAGACAGATAGGTTTGAAGTACACCTTTTCTCCTCTGCTGGGGACTCTTGCTCAGTGAAGAGAGGGAGATATCCCTGAATGGCTCACTTGATTCCTACTCTGGAAGATTGACCAGGCAGGAGAGGGGCAGATGCCTTGTGAGCCTTTAACACTGCTCCTCTCCTGCATCTCCACGTTCCTCTGTGGTTGTTGCAGGGATTCAACACATAGCTTGTTTGCAGCAGGTGCATGGCAGGCAGTGGTTGCATGTGGCAAACACGTTACACTTGACTTTGGAGCTTGGGGAAAGATCTGAGCAGTTGTGGGTTACCATATACTTGGTCAATTTAGCCATGGAGTTAATGTAAGCAAGCAGAGAGTATGTAAAGAATGAGAAGAAAAATGGCTGAAGCCCATATCCTGTGGAATGTTAGTGTTAAAGGACAGTAGAGGAAGCAGAGCCTTCATAGGAGACTGATAAGCTGTTGACTAAGAGGGAAGTGGAATGTGGTAGCATGGAAACCAGTGAACGTGAGTATTTTAAGTTGGAGGAAATGGACACCTGTATAAAATGCTGTTGAGCTGCTGAGAGACTCAATAAAATGAAGACTGAAAAATGACCTCTACATTGAGTAATTGGCAAGTCATTTTGGTAGGGGGATGGGAAGTGAAGCCAGATTAAAGTGGACTGAGGCGTGATTAGGAGATATGAAGAGGATTCGGCGAATGTGTACAAAGTTTTAAGGATATTTAACTGTAAAGAGAAGGAGATAAGTAGATGTGGCCAAGAGAGATTTAATTTCAGATGGGGTGGGAGAAATTGAAAATATTAAAGGTATAATCAGCAGAGTAATCGCCACCTGAGGGCTGAAGTCTATGCGATCCTGATCCTAATAGAAGGAAAGGAAAAATGCATGTATATGTATTTCTTGTTTTCCCTGTGAAGTTAGAGACCACACTGTGTACAGAGAGTAGTGTGGGATGTGATGTATTCAAAATTAGTAGAATGGAAAAGTTTGAAATAGACACTGTGGAAAATGGGGAAGAGAGAGCTGACCATGAATTTATAAAAAGATTTCTGGACTGCATTGAGAACCCAGTGGAGAAGTGACTCCATGAATTCATAATGATGCCACTTTTCTTCGTGTGTGATTTTTCTCCACTGGTGTTTAACTGTTTGGCATTGGGGTAGGGAAGGTGATCTGTGCATTAATCCAGGCCTGTGAGTCTTTCAACCCAAGTAGATGGAAAGACAACAAGGTGAGGGAGAGGAGGATACAGGTAAAATAGTGGACCATGGAGTTGAATTGGCATGGAATTTAAATTGATAGGTAATGAATTCTGTATAGTATTGATCCATTTTGCACCACAAGTTCTCTTGAGTCATCAATATAGAATGTTGCTATAGTGTCACATCATTTTATAATATGATAGAATTTTTGTGTAAGTTTACTTGCTGTACTAGTCTAGCTACTACTGTAATCCAGATTCTCCTTAGGTATTCTTATATTGCTGAAAATCATTTGATTAAACCACAATGTCAATTAAAAAAATATAATTTTGAGACTTTGTGAATGTACTCTGTAAAAACATTTAAATCTGATGTTTTGATACAGCATGAAACTACAGCCCAACAGAAATTTGCTGAAGAACTTCAAAAGCGAGAACGTTTTTTACTTGAAAGAGAACAGTTGCTTTTCAGACATGAGAATGCCTTGAGTAAAATTAAAGGTGTTGAAGAAGAGGTTGTTACAAGATTTCAAATTATAAAGGAGGTAATTATATGGCCTTTGATTTTAGAGTATTATTATTTCTCCTTTTTTCCTTAGATTCACTAGCTATTAAACATTTTGCCACATTTTCTTTGTTGTCTTTCCCTTTCTCCTGTCCATATCCACACAAATATTTTTTTCCTGAACCACTTGAAAGTATACTAACCTGCAAAAATCAAGCATTCCTAAATACTTCAGTGTGTATCTCCTAAGAATAAAGACATTCTCCAATACCATTATCATTTCTGGAAATTAATGCTAATTAAATAATTAATATGTAATATAATTCCATGTTTACTTTCCCAGTGGGTCCCCAAATGTCTTAGTGCTTTTTTGTTGTATTTTCTGATCAAGCAAGTAGGTAAGATTCATGAATTATATTTGGTGTCTTTTTGGTTTCTTTGAATCTAAAGCATTCAGCCTCACCATTTTTGGTTTTTGTGAGACTTTTCTTTGTAGAGTCCAGGTCAGCAGTCTTGTATGTCGCATTCTGGATTTGCTTGATTGTTTCACAGCAATAATATTCAGATGAAATGTTTTTGGCAAGAATGTTATATAGGTAATACAATATACTTCTTTGCTTCAAGCCAAGAGAGAAATTACTTTGTGTATAACTTATATACAGTGAAATTTATTGTGTTTGTTGTATATTTCCATGAGTTTTGAAAAATGCATGGTATTGTGATCACCATCTTAATCAAGATGACTAGTTCCAGCATACCAAAAGTTTCCTAATGCTCTTATAGTTGTATTTTTTCCCCATCCTCAGCCCTTGGCAACCATTGATCTATTTTCTGTCCCTTTTCCAGATTATCATGTAAATAGCATCATTTTATGATTTTTCTTTATCTTTGATTTTCAGCTGCAATTTATGATGTATCTTGGCATGCTTTTCTTTGAGTTTATCCTTTTTATGGCTTTCTGAGCTTCTTGAATTTGTGAATTTATGTCTTTTGTTAAATTTGGGACATTTTCAGCCAATATTTCTTCAAATATTTTTCTGCTCTGATTTGTTTCTCCTCTCCTCTGGATCTATAATGACTCATATACTAGTCCTTTGTTGTTTCCCCACAGATTTCTGAGTCTCTGCTCCTTTTTTCTTGTATTTTTTTTTCAGTAGTTTTCAGATTGAATAATTTCCATTGATCTGTCTTTAAGTTCACTGTTCTTTTTTTCATATATGAGCTCATCTAGTTTTTCATTTCTGATATTTTAAAGTTCTAAAATTTCAATTATATTCTTTTTAAAAATACTTTTTTGTTCCCCTAAGAATTTCTGTCCATTTATTTTTAGATTGTATTCAAGACCTTTTGGATATTATGCTATATTGATTCTAGGTCCTGTTAAAATCCTCTAGAGAATGTTGGTTTTTATAATATTTAAAGCATTCAACTCAATTAGGTTTAGACAACCGGTTTTTTTTCACCTTATATAGGAAATGGTTCTAATCTCAGTTCAACTTCCAAAGGCTTTGCAGCGTTGCCATGGAGTGGTCTTGTGCCTCTGCCGCTTAAAGGTTATTCTGAGATTTGAGCGACGTTTAAAATCTTAGTTCAGTTCTCAAAGCTTTTGCTCTTCTGCTCTGGGTCTTTTCCATACATGTAGAGATGGACAGGGGGAGGGCAGGTTAGGCTGAGTCTTAGATAGCATTTTTAAACAGAGCTCCATTCTCCAAGCCTTTGCTCTGTTGCATTTGATCTGTCCTGTGCCTGGGTGGTTCAGGCGTGAGCCCAATTTGTACAGGTTCATACACACCAGAGCAAGAGAATCCTCTTTCTGAATCTCTCTTCTGCAAGATTCTCCCCACACTCTGGCTTGCAGGGGCCGCTCTTCCTGGTTTCTCTGCCAGAAAGACTGGCTTTCTCTCAGAACTTGAGTGGATGTTTTTGCTGTACTTCTCTATGATTGGGGCCCACTCTGGGGTAAAATGTTAAGAGAAAAGGAAAAATCAAAATATGGGAAACTTTACCCCGTGGGGGTTGCTTCTTCAAGTTTTTACTCCCTTCTGCAATTTCTTACTCTTGTTTACTTTTCAGTGCTGAGGTAGTTTTTTTGTGTGTGTGTTTTGTCTATGATTTTTAGTTATAATCTGTGGGAGAAGTAGAGTGTACCAGGCTTATTCTGCTGTGCTGGAAATGGAACTCATTTTATATATTTTTAATATCTTTTAGATGTGGAAAAATGTGGGCAATGAAAATATTAAACTAGTTTTTAAAATAAATGTCTTTGTCACTATGTCCTAAGTTATTTAAGGAATTATTTAGTATAATAAAATTACATAAAACTAAATTTATCAGATTATTGGAGTTTTTTCACAGGGCTGAAGAAGGTATGCATGCTTAGACTCTCTAATTTCTCATTTCTCCTTCCTTGTCTTATTCTTGATTCCCTATCTTTATGTTTGCCTACTATTCTTATTAAGTATAAAGATAACTGCTTTATTTATATTATACTTATATTATTTAGAAGAAGGAAATCTAGTTTCTTGATTTCCTATAGAAATTTATCTTTTTTAATACTTTATGAATAAATAGAGATTAGAAGGTGAAAGAAGCTATAACAATTCACATTTTAAATCTAAAACATGCTATTTTATTTAAATGTAATTAAAGGGAAAGTTGATTTGAATCATTTACAAAACATGAAGAGTCAAACAGTTTGAGGTTCAGAGAAATTTTATTATGTATTTAACATATTTTGAGGTATAAAGTTGGCATCAAAAATTTTAGCTACTCTGTGAGAACTGGAAATTACTTTGTTCTATGGAATAGTTCTTGTACTCCTCAAGGGTAATGCAAATTTTACATTAAAGCTTTGTTTACTATCCCATGATGTCAAATACAAAATATTTCAGTGAGTTTCTGTGAGTGGAATTTTATGAGCAGAAGCAGAATATATATAGACTTATTGCTACTTAATTTGTATGTTAACATATTTTAATAGGTATTTCACAAATACTTTTGTTGTGTTGTTACTTTGGTAGATTATACAGATTTTTAAAATTACTTGCACCTATGCTTAAATATACTATTAAATGGTTAAGGTTTTTATAATTGAAAGAGTTCTTTTAATTTATGTTCAATAGTGTTAGCGATATGTGATTTTTACCTCATTTTTAGATTAGTATTTTTTCTCTTCTAGCAACATGATGCGGAAGTTGAACACTTAACTGAAGTTCTTAAAGAAAAGAATAAAGAAAGCAAAAGACTGAGGTCCTCTTTTGATGCATTGAAAGAATTGAATGATACATTAAAAAAACAAGTAAGACTTGTTTTAATATATATTAGATTATAAGACATTCTAAGAACTATGTTGTATATTTAATAAATTATAAGTCAGCCTTAGAACATTTCAGCTAGAGAAAATTTTGATTAAAGTTATTTGTTAGCTTTATTATAAAATATGTCCAAATATGAATAAAGTATTCTTAAACTAATGGTTTTTTCTTTTTATCTGCTCTGGCAACCAACTGAGATATTTGGCAGTTTGAATTTTATTTTTTAAATATAAAAGCATCACTAGATTAAAAATAAGCAAAATAAAAAACCTGATAACTTGAAAACTAATGTCGTTTCAGGCACTGATTTCTGGCTTTATTACTTATTATTTTAACTGCTGTTACACATCACTATTTAGCATTCATTTATTTTCTGAGTTTCTGCTATATGCTGGGCACTGTACTCGACTCAATTCTCCACATTGCTCATGGTCTCATGGTTATAGATTGGTATCATATGGCACTATAATTATTTACATAAGTGATGTAATTTAGGTCAATACATAATACTAAACTTGCATAACAGAAATATTTTTGTAAGTTGTATCTTTTTTTTTTTATTTTGTCAGTTTATGGCTGAAAAATATGAAACCAAAGGAGTATGTTATTGAGAGATAGGAAAATTATTATTGTGTATTAGATTGTATGGGTAAGAGAAACAGATGCATGGAAAGTGGAGTAAAGTAGTCATTCTGAAAATTAAAGCACTGGACTAGGAAGCTTTATGGATTCTAAAATGTAGCTAAGCTCAGACTCTGAGAGATAATTTACCTGCTAGGATTCCTTAGCCAGCTGACTATCCATTTGTTCTGCTTTTTCTTTTGATTCCTGTAATCTCTACTTGTTATAACTTTTTTCTTTAGCAGTGATAGCTAGGTACCTTGTTTACCACTTGATCCAATTCTCTGGCTTCCCTGAATTTATGTATGGCTTCCCACAGTTGAACTATGAACTCAACAGACTGTTGACTGTTAGGAAGCCTGAATAGAGAACTCTTTCCAATTACAATCTCAATTTAGTATCCTTTTGTGAAAAGGGTTTTTAATTGCTGGTTATAGCATAGGCACATTGTTGCCCATACCTACCTCTTAAGTTTCTGTAATCCTTAATAACTTTGCACATGTTTGCATGAGTGTGTGAGTGGATATGTGGATTTTTAAATATTTGGACCTATTGATAATTGGATTTATGAGGTAATGTGTCCAAATTGAAAGAGCTTGGGAGAAACTCTTTGATACCAAGTAGCAGATTGCTTTTTTATGTTTACTTTGTTTAGAATAGTTGGGAGGTCAGCAAACATTTTCTGTTAAGGATCAGATAATAAATAGTAATATTTGGAGCTTTACTGGCCCATATGACCTCTGTCACAGTGACTCAACTCTTGACATCATACTGCAAATGCAACCACAGGCAATAATTGGCAGTGCTCCAAAATGACTTTATTAATAAAAACAAGCAGTGGTCAGATTTGGCTTGCAGGCCATAGTTTGCCAACTTTTGGCACGATGAATGACATATACTTTGAAATTTCTTAATAAAAGGTACATTATTTCTGTGACTAACTTACATAGTAGTTTATGATAACACTGGATATAAGTTTGCTGTAATAATAACAATATGAAAACATTTCTCATTAAGTCTTGCCAAGCTGAGGACACAAGGATTAATGGTCAGGACCAGCAGGGAGAGAGTCCCTATGAATACTCCAAGATCTTAGTCGAGAGAAGCAGAGCTGCACTTTGAAAGCAGATAAACTAAAGGGAGGTAGAAGCTTTCTCAAACTGAAATCTTGATTATTCCCAGTTCTTGATCAGGTTGTGGTTCTTACTCCTCAGTTTAAATACCTAGGAGAGGAAAAGATGAAAAGACTCTGAAAGAAGATGTCACATGTAGCCTTTATAATGTTATATACAATGTCTTTCATTCTATACAACATTAATAAGCGCATCAAAAATCAGAATCGCGTGACTAAATATGAAGAAATAAACCCCAGAGAATGTAAACATACCTGCAAATGATACCTATATTGGAGTTAACTAGCAGTGACTTTAAAATAATGCTTAATATGTTCAAGAAAGTAGAAAAAAGATTGAAAAGTTCACTAGCAAACTGTAATTTATAAAAAGGAACTAAGTAGAAATTCTAAACTGAAAAATATACTAATTGAACTTAAAGTAATGAATCTTTTTTTTTTTTTTTTTTTTTTTTGAGACAGAGCCTCACTTTGTTGCCCTGGCTAGAGTGAGTGCCATGGCATCAGCCTAGCTCACAGCAACCTCAAACTCCTGGGCTCAAGAGATCCTCCTGCCTCAGCCTCCCAAGTAGCTGGGACTACAGGCATCCACAACCATGCCCAGCTAACTTTTTGTATATATATTTTTAGTTGGTCAATTAATTTCTTTCTATTTTTAGTAGAGATGGGGTCTCGCTCAGGCTGGTTTCGAACTCCCGACCTCGAGCAATCTGCCTGCCTCGGCCTCCCGGAGTGCTAGGATTACAGGCGTGAGCCACTGCGCCCAGCCTGAATCTATTTTTAATTGACACATAATTGTACATAATTATGGGCTACAGTATATTATTTTGATACTTGTGTATAATGTGTAGTGATTAAAATCATAGTAATTAGTAAATCCATCACCTCAAACATTTATCATTTCTTTTTGTTGGGAACATTCAAAATCCTCTCTTCTATTTGAAAATATACGATAAATTGTTAATTATATTAATAGTTACAGTGCTATAAAACACTAGATTTACTTCTCCTGTCTAGTTATATTAAATAATTTTGTATTTGTTCACCAACTTCATCTGATCCCCTCCTACCTGCTATTCTTCCCATTCTCTAGTAACCAATATTCTACTCTTTAATTCTGTAAGATCAACCTCTTTTCTTTTAGCTTCCACATATGAGTGAAAATGTGGTATTCATCTTTCTGTGCCTGGCTTATTTCACATAACATTATGTTCTCCAGGCTCATCCATGTTGCCATGAATGACAGGATTTTGGTATTTTTCATGGCCGAGTAGTTTTCCATTGTATATATATATATATACACCACATTTTCTTGATCCATTCACTCATTGATGGGCAAATAGGTTAATTTACCATCTTGGCTATTGTGAATAATGATATAATAAACATGGGAGTCTTCCACATACTGATTTCCTTTTTTTTGGATATATACCTACTAAGGGGATTGCTGAATCATACAATAGCCACATTTTTAGTTTTTTTGGTAACTGTCATATTGTTCTTTCCATAATGGCTGTATTAATTTACATTCTCACTAACAGTGAAAAAGTTGCCCTTTATCCATGTCCTCACCAGCACTTATTATTTTTTGTCTTTTTGATAATTGCCATTCTAACTGGGATGATATGACATCTCATCATGGGTTAGATTTGTATTTCCCTGGTAATTAGTGATGTTGAGCATTTTTTCATATACTTCATGGCCATTTGTATGCCTTCATTTGAGAAATGTCTATTCAGATCACTTACCCATTTTATTTGAATTATTTGTCTTTTTGCTGTTGAATTGCATTTCTCATATATTCTGTATCTTAATCCCTTCTCAGATGAATAGTTCACAAATATGTTCTTCCATTCTGCAGGTTGTCTCTTTGTTAATTATTTCCTTTGCTGTGTAGAAGCTTTTTAGTTTGATATAATCCCATTTGTCTGTTTGCTTTTGTTGCCTGTGCTTTTGAGTTCTTATTCATAAATTCTTTGCCTACACCAGTGTCCCGAAACATTTCCCCTATGTTTTCTTCAAGTGGTTTTCATGGTTTTGGGTCTTTAATCCATCGTGAGTTGATTTTTGAAAATGGTGATATATAGGGGTTTAGTTTCATTCTTCTGCATATGGATATCCAGTTTTCCCAGCACCATGTATTCAGGAGACTGTTCTTTCCCCAGTAAGTGTTCTTGGCACCTTTGTCAAAAATCAGTTGGCTGTTATATGTGGATTTATTAATATTTCTGGATTCTCTATTATGTTCCATTAGTCTATGTGACCAATACCATGCTGTTGTGGTTACTGTAGCTTTGTACTATATTTTGAATTCAGGTAGTGTTATGCCTCCAGCTTAGTTATTTTTGCTCAGGATTGCATTGGCTATTTGGAGTCTTTCGTGGTTCCATATGAATTTTAGGATTGGTTTTTCTATTTGTGAATGTCATTGATATTTTATATGTTATTGGCATTTTGATACAGATTGTCTTTAATCTGTAGATCAGTTTGGGTAGTGTGGTCTTGTTAACAATATTCTTCTATTTCATGAACATGAGATATCTCTATTTTTTTGTGTCCTCCTTAATTTCATTCCTCAGTGTTTTATAATTTTCTTTGTAGAAATCTTTCATCTTCACTGTTAAATTTATTTCTAAGTATTTTGGAGTTTTTTTGTGGCTAATGTAATTGAGATTGCTTTCTTTATTTTTCAGCTAGTTAGTTGTTGGTATATGGAAACACTATTGATTTTCGTATGTTCATTTTGTATCCTGCAACTTTATTGAATTTACCAGTTCTAAGAGTTTTTTGGTAGAGTCTCTGGGCTTTTTGTTAATATATAAAAGCATGTCATCTGCAACAAGGACAATTTACCCTCCTTCTTTTTAATGTATAAGCCCTTTATTTCTTTCTATTACCTAATTGCTCTGGCTAGTACTTTCAGTACTATATTGAATAAGAAAGGTGAGAGTGGGTATCCTTGTCTTGTTCCAGTTCTTAGAGGAAAGGCTTTCAGGTTTTTCCTGTTTAGTATGATGTTAGCTGTGGGTTGGTCATATGTGCCTTTTAATGTGTTGAGGTGTTTCCTTCTCTACCTCTTTTGTTGAGAGCTTTTATCATGAAGGGATATTGAATTTCATCAAATACTTTTTCTGCATCTATTGATATCATATAGTTTTTGTCCTTCATTATGTTGATGTGATGTAGCACATTTACTGATTTGCATATGTTGGATCTTCCTTGTATCCCTGG